ATTTCTATAGCTTACTGTCTCGGTTTCTTATAACTTCAGCTATTACATACAGGTTGTTGGTGTAACCAAACCTAAACGCTCGCCTAAAAAACCTGTCAATGTGATCAAGGTATTTATCTTGATATGCCGCTCCCCAAATCTCAATTCCATATAAAAACAGGGACATAATTAAGAGATCGAATAATTTAGTCAGTTGCTCTTTAGGATATCCAAAATATTTACAAACGCGTAGAATACTACGACTACTAGCTTTGCGTAGCAAACTGTCAACATGAAGGTCCCAGTCCGATTGATTTTCCTGGAAATTTATGCCAAGCAATTTCAACCAGCTTTTCCGTTCAATTCTCTGTACTAGAGGTGGCAGTGGTTTGGAAATTCTACCATGCACCACCATCTCCCAGGTCTTAGTGAGGTTTAATTTCATACGGTTTCTTACCGCCCGGTGTTGAATGCTGTCAACCTCAATAAGAGAGTGATCTTGATGTGCCGAAACAGGTACACTTAGGTAAGATCGTCAGCATATTTGAGCAATAAATTGCGCTCCGGTCTTATGTCGTTCACCATAATGGAGAATATAGGCCCGAGAACCGTACCTTGCGGTACCCCTCTATTAATGCTAACAAATTCGTTGACAAAGCCGTCCACGACTACTCTCTGTTTCCTATTGTTAAGAAAACTAACGATCGAATTGAAAACATAAGGATTGATATTAAGTGACATTAACTTATTGCAAACAATAGCATGTGAAACACGCTAAACTGGCGACCGTAAAGAGTTCAAAAGCGGACGTTTCGAGCGTTAGCCCTTCGTCAGAGCGAATGGAGGAATTGTGGTTATGTTTGTGTTTACACGCAGAAAGTGGAGGTACGCTATTGGTGGGAACATGGTGATGAGGAAAACAAGAATAAATTAGTAGAATGAATGTGTTCAGTGACACCTAAGGGATTAAGAGTGCCGATTTGAAAGACAAACTTTTCTTCAAGAGTTTTACGGCTTTTCGAGCCACCTAAATATAAGGAAAGACGGCAGATTGCTATATGCTACTTAGAATGATTAGGTAGATTAAAGTGTCTATCGACTGGTTTTGATGCGTCCTTGTCATTCCTGTTTACGTCGCGAAGGTGTTTCGCAATCGGTCATCTAGTCGCCTTCCTATTTCGCTGATGTATATCTTTTTGCAATAAGTGTAAGTTATGCAATAGATGGCATTGGCGGAGGTGCACGTGAAGTGATCAGTAATCTTAATGGATCGTTTAGGTCCCGATATTTTCTCAGCGTTGTGAATGAAAGGACAAGTTTTGCATCGTGCGCGAGCGCATTTTTGAAAGTGCCGGGTTGGTCATTAGTTTGGAATGAGCTTGTGACTGAAAATTGCCTATGCTTTTGTCACGTTTGAATGTAAAAAGTGGAGGTTGTGAAAAGACAGTACCAGTCTCTGGATCGTTTTGAGGCAATTTAAAATTTTTAAGAATAATGGATATAACTGAGTGATTGTGGGGGTGAAATGTGAGGGTGAATGGAATGCAGTCGGAATTTTACTTTATGTGCCTAAACGCTCACCTCTCTTCATATCTCGCCTGAAGTAATATCTCT